GGCAATGGAGGAGGAGCTTCCGCCAGGCGTTGGTCATCCATAGCAGCTGCAATGCACTGTGTCACCGCGATGCCAGGTTTTGGCATTGACACCTCAAGTTTGGTGAAGAGTTCCTGCAGGAGAGTCCACCCACATAGCCCAAGTTGCGTGTCACAAGGAAGATGGATAAGCTGGAAAGCTTCCTCACCAAATCCAGTCAGTTTCTGGAGTTGATCGACCAGGCAGGTCAAGTCGTGGGCAAAGTCCCGAGGTGCCAGCACCCAAGCAATGGTGAGGTCACGCTGCAGATGAAGTTCGCATGAGATCCAATGCTGATCGTAAAGGATCAAAGCCACCGCTCTGGTATGGAATCTGCAGTCTTCCTTGTAGCCACTGAAGGTGCAAATCGCTCGGGTGTGCGAGTTCCACATAATAGGAGCAGCGATGGCGATCTCAGGATGGGCAAACCGCAACAGTTGGAGAGCCCCATCTGCAACATCACTTCCCAACCAGCCAGGAAATCTGTGGAATTCATCAATCCTCCTGTTCTGGAAGTCCTTCATGAAACTGTCATATTCGTCATACAGGAGAACCCTGCCAGGAAGTTGCAAAGCAGGCCCACGAGGAAGATCAACCACGACGGCATGGTCAATGACCGGTGCTGCATCGTTCTCACTGATAGCCATGTGGAAGAAACATCCCAATCTGATCTGGTGAGCAAAGTGCCAAAGCTGAGGAGGTGCATCAGCAGCTAGCCAATCCTCGATAGAGCTGGAAAGAACCTCATGGATCAGCGTATACTTCCATTCCACCAGGTCTTCAAGGTCCTCTTCATAGGAGTGGAGTTGGTCGTGCTGATGCAGCTTCTCAAACCATCGGAAAAGCAAAGCCCATCCACACATATTGAACGGCTGAGGGAATGCATGCACAAATGTTTGGATTTTGCGACCAGTAGTATCCAGCCTGCGAGCAAAGATTTGAGTCAACCGGTGAGCCTTCAAGCTATCAAGCCCGAGGAAAGTGATCTGCACTTCATCCCCACAACGAGTCAATTCACTGCCAAACCAATGGGCACCAGAGAGAATGGCAAACCAAGTTGTAGAGTCCGGATGAACCTGCGGAAAAGTGAAGGTATTCTCATCAAAGTCAGACTCCTGTTCCTGCCTGATCCGCAAGCAACCATTTCATGGCATAGAGGAGTTCGTCTGAGGCACACCACCCATTGGTATTGATGGCGAATTCACACCTTTCCGAGAAATTTGCTCCTGATCGCAAATGCCATGTGACATGGTCTGAGTGAGGATGCCCTCCAGCAAAAATTCTCTGAGTGTTCTCAACTCGGCGCAGTTGCGGATCTTGATGCACAAGAGAAAACATGTCACCATGCTTGCATTCATGCGATTGAAGACCATCAAAAGTGACCCCATTGATGCGCTGAATGATGTATGTTTGCTCTTGCCGAACCACTCGCGTTTGAGGAGTGACGAATCCCTTGAGTTCAATGATCTGAAGATCAATGATCGACGTAAGGTTCTCCAAGATAATGCAGTTTTGGGATGATCGTGGGTTGGATAAGACCCACCACTCATGCTGCGGCAGCCGAACTGACCGGCCTTCAAGACGGTGAAAGCTCCACTGGAAGAAACCAAAGCGATGAAGGATCCCATGGATTTCTTCAAAATCGGTCTCCAAGGATCTAGACGTGACAAACACAATCTGAGGGTCCACACAACAGAGCACCGTGGGGAGCGCATTCTCGACTTGTCCAAAGAGGCCATTCTCAGAGGCAGTCTCAAAGAACTTGATCAAGGCAAGAAACTCATCTTTCACGCTTTCCTGGTCAAAGGACGAGTCCGGCACATGGATAGTCTCAATCTGATCAACAGTGGTGAAAGGACACGTAGGTGACACCTCAGGTTCATCTGTCAGCATGTCTTTCCCTGCAAAACAGATGGTTGCGATCGGGGTTGCAGCAGCACAAAGATCCCACGACTAGGATAGCAGTGTCAAGTCGTCGATCGAGTCAATAGCTGAAGCCACAGTTGGACCATGTCGAAGGGTGAATTGGGAGGCAGCATGTGTCTCAAGAGGGACACAAGACGCAAGGAACTGCGCGACCTTCAAATCTCCATCGCACGACCCCTCAAATCGTTCCGAACCACTGATCGGGATGAGGTCAAACTTCATTGCATCACCACCCATCAGCACGGGTCGAAAAGAAAGCCTCTCACAAAGAAGGCTAGCTTTGACAATGGATAAAAAATTACCCTCAACAACGATGACAGCATTCTGAGCGGTAAGACGACTGTTCCAGACTTTGTTAACAAGATGCTTAATGTTGAGTTGCACATGGTTGATGGCTTGGAGTCCTACAAGTAAAGCAAGAGCGGCTTGCGGGACCGAAATCGCATTGCCAAGACCATGAAAAGCCTCGATCGGATCTGCTGGAAGCGAGACTCTTTTGACCCCTCCTAGCAAAGCTGCAATACGTGTAGGCTCAATCAGGGAGAAAGAACCTTCATGGACAACTAGCGAAGCGAAGATGCCCCTTTGGGCGAGATGCAGGGAATCAAGTTCATGCTGTCTCCCATACATGGCACAACAGGTGGGCAGGGGTTCCGAACTCGAGGCGACTCTGTGCATCAGGACACTTTCCCTATCAACCCCTGTCGAAAGTCGGGCCTTCTTTGCAGGCGGCAGGAACTGGCGAGATCCATAGACCTCCATCATGCTCTCCGTGAGGCTCAAACCATTCTGAAATTCCTGAGGCACGGCGAACGAGTAGAGAGAACTATGCCATGGAACCTTGACCTCGGCACACAGGTTATACTTCTGAGAGTTCTGTTCATGCGCGTGGTCAGCACGGATCCAGACCGAAAGCCACCTATCCCTCCTGTTGTCAGAGAGAAGGTGGTATTGCACAACTTGTTGCCACACACGTTTGTAACCTCCTAATTTGAGAATGTGTGATATTAAACCAAAGTGGTGATGCTGGCAAATGTCGTCCGCGCATTCGAACATTTGAAGGTTCGGTCTCAAGGCAAGGACATCAATCGCAGCCTCGATGAATGCATAGCCAGAGTCACAGTTGAGGCCCTGTGACTTTCCCCCTTTACTCCAAGAGACACAAGGTGGTGAAGCCGTTCCAACCGAGTTCAAAAGAAAGCTCACCTGATGCATGAATGAGATGTCATCCACAGAAGTGCAGACTCCAATGTGACTGCTTGGGTTCCACGGATGGGAGAATGGCGTCCTTCCCTGATGGTATGGTGCACTTACTTGTCTGGACCATTGGTCCATCGTGACCGGATCACTGTCGACGCAGACTTGCTGACCAAGAGGGGGCCAAGAGGCATTCTCAAAAATACCTTCACAAGCTTGGGACCACCCTCCAAAAGACCCAGAAAATAGGTGAAAAGCATTCACCGGCGATTCCCAGTCCCACTTCGGAGTCGGCGTCAGGCAAACGTCCTCAAAAAAGGCAACTGAATCGTCCATGATAGACTCAAACCTGCCAAAAATAGTGATCTCGTCACCAGCACACCAACGCAGCGACCGAGAGGTCAGTTTGGGGATGAACACTTTCCACAACACTTCATTCTTCTCCACAAAGCCGGTTCCAGGACAGAAAAGGTAGGGATGAAGCTTCACACTTTCCTCAACAATGTCCACAATCCTCCCTTGGAGCAGGCACAGCCCTGAAAAGCAGACAGAGAAGCCTGTCGTTCCGAGAGCGCCGACCAATTCAATCACCCGGGATTGCCAAGGTTCAACTAACTTCAAACGAATCGTCTCGATCAAACGGGGCATCACATTGTCACTAAACCCAGGCTGAGGCACATGTAGGCCCGACATCACAGGGACCGAGATGAAGCCTAAAAGAAAGGCGACTTAGTCGACGTCGCACCTAGGTCTAAGAGAACCTAGCCAGCAACCCTGGGTGTCTCGTGCACCCTGAGCCCTGCGGCTTTGAACCTGGAGGGCTAGGTCGTCTATTCTGTTCATTTTCAGCGTCAACCAGGGACGCACAGCCACATAGCTTTTCAGAAGGTACTTGGACCCTCCAAGCCTACATAAAACTATCCAATCACCTTCTCAAAATGTATGTGGATCCATAGGGATAGAATAAGCATGAACAAACAATACTTACAAACTCTTGCTCCATGAGCATGATGTCTCGTGTTTGTCGTTTGCTTGTTTGGTTTGTCTTTGTGATAGTCTTTGTGATAATGTGAGTGCTGAAAGGAAGCATGTGTCCTATGCATGTTTTCTGGATGGAAAACAATCAACAGTCTCCACATGTGTCCTGTGTCATGTGATTGAAGTCCACGCGAACAATTGCGGGGTCTACTGGTGCTGGGGCGGCTATGACTTTCTCAGACTGGTTCTCATTCCTTTTGGATCCTCTTGACAAAAAACTGTACCGTCCCAACGGACTTCTTCTGGAGGGTTTTCAATGGTTTTCAAGCATCAGTCACAGGTGTATGGTGATATCTTCCGCACCGAGGATCAGCATTAGGCGGCCGCGAGATTCTGTAGCAGTTTATATGTCGCCTGGGCAAGGAATTCTTTGACACTTTTGTTTCAAACCTCATCCCCTATGTTGTCATCAAGCTCATCCTCTGCTTTTCTGCTGTTCAACCACGTGTTCTCCTTCCTCTTGAAGTTCTTTGCTGCTCGGTCTTCGCTCTGGCTTCTGCTGGGTCCGGGTTTCAGGGCCCCACACAGTCGAGTCAGACATGAAAAAGTACACAAAGCACCGGCTGTTACGGGGAGTCAAACAAATGTCTTTCAATACCGTGGTGGCACCGAAAGAAGTGAAAGACGATCACTTTCTGGGTACAGTCTGTCACCCACTTCCAACAAAAATCATCGAGGTCACATATTGTTGTTTCTTCCTGGAAGTAGAGCTTGGCAATCGAGGTCTTTGATCAGTTCGGTTTCCCCTTTGTTCCACCTTCCATGAGCTCAAATCCCCGCTTTTGTGCCCCAGCCGCGCGCTCGCCCCACGCCATCCACACCTTGCGTGGAGCCAAAGGGTTGTCCACATCTGCCTGGTAGAATGGATGCGTGGTCTTCGTGTGGACCTGAGCGATGGCAAAGAAAACACTTCAGTAAAACGGATTGGGGGGACTGGCCAGCCTGGATGTGGGTCATGTGAGGAAGGGAAGGGAGGGCAGGGAGGGAGCACAAAAAAGGCATACAAACACCGCACACTTGTTGTGATTCGAAAGGCCTATAGTCACCATAGTCCAAGATGTTGAAGGTGAAAAACAAAACACAGTGCCACGTGTTGAACAGCTTATCATAGCTTATCTTTGTCTACGACATGTTCTGGTGTCTTCTTCGATTCACAGCCACATGGCTTCGTCACGGAACAGTCAGGCTTGCTAATAGACTCGACTTACTTAGGGTCTAAAGTCTAAAGTGAAAAGTATGTCATTTCACTTAGGGCAGCTGGTATGTATCCCAGAATTGGTTGAAGCAAAACTCTGAGGGAAACCGTGGTTTTCACCTCCAAACAGATGGGTTTCCTGTAGAGGTTCCCTTAAACCAAATCTCGGAATGTAGTTGATTGTGTCACCAAGGTTGGTCAATGAATACCCATGACCGAAACAGGGTGAGCCACATACTCCCGAAGGCAGGATAATGTGCTCCTTTTAAATCAAAACCGACCCCAAACATGGAGTGTAAAACCTCTTCAGGTGTGGGTGGTTGAAAAAAAAACTTTCAACTTCAACAATGCACTAAATAATATGGGTACATTAAAACATCTATTGGTCGACATATAAACCCTATGGAAGGGGAGATCTTCCTTGGTCACCGGTCACCAGGTTTTCCTCCCAACGGCGCAAACCACCCAAAAACCTCCGAACGCAGGTGGACATCGTCACGAACGACCCAAAACGCCGCCCGGAAACCCAGTGCTGGTCCGAAACCCTCTTCGCAGCGACTGAAGCATGGCATGTCACAGGCCTTGGCCTTTTTTTCCAGCGCAGCGTGGGGACCGGTGGAATCAAGGCTATACAGCGGTCACACAGCCCAAGTTGCTGCCATGGAACAGGACGGGCGACAAGCCTTTGCTGTCAAACCGGTGTACCAAACGCGCTGGTCGTGGTCTGAGCTTGTGGGCCAAGACTTTGCTTCCTTACTTGGGTCTTGAAACATGGGCATGTCTGGTATCTATATAACATACAGGCCAGGAGCCCCTAGTAGCGTTCTTGCTCCTAGTAGCGATGCCAGGAGCCCCTAGTAGCGTCTTTTCTTTAACATACTTCATACATCAATACATTGAATACAATTTAATATGTCCATTGGGCTGCACTTCCAAGCCCAAGCCAACTTTGAGCGCACAGGGTCGTTACCATAATGCATATATATATATATATATACAAATATATGTGTGTCCGATGAACAGTGTTTCATTAAAGGACTAGGGGGTGGCTACTTAGGTCATCTGAAATAGTAGCATGGCTGAAGGACTAGTCGCCCGTCTGTGGTGTGAAAATTACACCTTTGTCATACCCCTTACTCTGCCATGGGGCATCCGGACACCCACTTCATAGAGGATTTGTGTTTATAAAATGGACGTCCGCAAAAAGAGTTTATATATAATGATGGCCGTATGTGTCTCCAAGTTTGGTATATAATGATGGTGCTTCTAGGTATCAAAAAGGATCAAAGAACTCTGGAGAAGTGGCATGCTTCTAAAATGATAGGCTCCAGGATCAATAAGCACCAGTATAGCTTTTCCTGAAACCTTTATGAAATGACAAATCCACAAGCAAACCTGGGCGACCCCATCACTCCATCTTTGGGCTACTACTTCTTAGGACTCTGGGGTGTAGAAGTCAAAAAGTGTGGTTTTGATTGGGTTTCCAGTTCCTCTCAGGCTCCTGGGGGAAGAAAACCCAGCTG